AACATCTGTTTAAACTTCTGCATTTTCAGCTGATATTTAATTAAAAGAACTAGATTATGTACATTTTAATAGGTTTGTCTAGCATATTGATGCTCAAAATATTTTTTTAATGATTATGAGCTATATTTTGTTATACTGTGTTATTTTTATCTGGAGATATCATTGGATTAGCAAAGGTACAGCTATATATAGTGATAACAAATACCCAAAGTAGTCTCTGTTATAGACAAACTTTTGCATAAGATGTTGAAAGATATTATTAAATACTTTAATTTTAATAAATATTTCAGTTAGTTTTTGTGAAAGATGATTTTAAAATGTTTTATGTGCACAACTTTTATTTTTTTTGACAATCATCAGAAACTTATGTTTTTCTGAAAGCTGTTTTTCTTTGTGTTCATTCATAGTAAATCTAAATAATAAGATCAATACTAACATGTATGATAAGATCCATACTAATATTCAACTTAACTAATAACTAAGTTATAGGTTTTGTCAAGCATAGCAATTTTAGCATTTCCATTATAGAAGATAATAATTTTAAACATTTTATAAAATATTCCAAATGTTAAAAATGGTCAGGAAAACTCATTTGATTTTAAAAAAAAGTCAGTGAATAATCAGGGAATTTCATATAAATAATTGGCTACAAACCCTGCATGATAAACCTGCCTTGCCTTACCCTTTTATATATATATATATATATATATATATATATATATATATATATATATATATATATATAATATATATATATATATATATATATATATATATCAAAAATATATTTATAATATATTTTTATATATTAGTAAATATATTGAAAAAATGTTTATATGAATAATATATAACGGTATATATATATATATATATATATATATATATATATATATATATATATATATATATATATATATATATATATATATATATATATATATGTATATTTATATCGCTATATATATTGTTGTGTGTATATATATATATATATATATATATATATATATATATATATATATATATGTATATTTATATCGCTATATATATTGTTGTGTATATATATATATATATATATATATGTATATATATATATGTATATTTATATCGCTATATATATTGTTGTGTATATATATATATATATATATATATATATATATACATATATATATATATATATATATATATATATATATATATATGCAGCCGTGGCACAGTGGTTAGAGTTCTGGCTCAAAATCCAGAGGTCCGAGGTTCGACGCCAGCTTTAGCCCAACAAACAACATTGGTACGAAAGGAGGCGTGAACTTCCTGTTAAATGCTCACCCGCGGTGCTCTATGATAAGACCGTAAGGACTTCTGCGAGCCCTTAAATACATACAAAAAAATATATATATATATCAGACTTGGTCGGGAAGCAGGAGCGATCGCTCTCGAATACTGACAACGGAAATTATATTTAGTTGCAAAAAACTGGCCAGGTTTTTTAGCCGTTTTGAGAACATTTAAGCTTATGTACGAAACAAAAAATTTTTGTTTTACGGACATACATGGAAACATAAAATACTTGAATGTTCTCAAAATATCTTGGTGCGAAAGAATAAAAAGAATATTTGCGAACACTTAAACCCCGCCAAATTAACGAACAAACTATTTCTATTAGTTCAAAAAATACGCTGACTAAGCGCAATAAAGTTCTAGAGTGTTCTGTTGAAATGCTTTATAAATTGTATTATTTACGATTTGTCACGTTTTGATATTTCTAGCATAAAATGTTTTAAGAATATTATTTGTTTACAAAAATAAATGTTTTAAATATATATCAATTAAATTGTCAAAATTTTAAAAGTTTATTATAAATTACAGATTTTATTAGTATATTCTTATTTTTTTATTTAAAAAGTATTTATTCTTTATGTAAATATAATTGTGTGTATCTATTTTTTATCGTAATGTATATTTTAAAGCAATTTTTATGATTTAAACTAAGACTTACAAAAGTATTTGCGTTTTCAATGATGTTATAATCGTCAAAGTTATTAAAATTAATTATGTAACAAAAATATATCAGAAGTTTCTGGTTACTAAACACAAACAATGCATACAAAGTAACTTGCGGATGAACAAGCACCGCGCCTGAGGTCACGACAGAACACAAATATTTATAGCAAAATAATTAGATACAAAGAAAAGTTTCTAGATATTGGTTTACTAACTCTAATTATTTTCGCTTAAGTTGCTATTTTTAAAACTCTTTACACTTTTTTCTGCTTTAAATACTAATTAAAATTAAAAAGCCCACTCACTAAACATCATCAGCGATATTGTGAAGCAGTTTCGCTTCCTCTAAGTAGTTTTAACCTTTTTGTTAATTTAATTTCTATAGTAATTCAATGATTTAATTATTTCATTTGTTTATCCTACTAAGAAGAATTGCTTCAAATATGTTAAACTTTTCAAACTACGCTAAACATAAAATAGGTATTAAAAAAATTAACTTTTTTATTGATAAAATAATTTAGCTTAAATAAAATGAAAACTTGCAAACTTTTTTAATAAAGAATATTTGTTTCCTTTTTAAACAATCATAAGTTGTTACTTTATATAAAAAACATCGCTTAATTTTATAAAAAAAATGATAAAAGAGCGATGTTTCGAAAATATTTGTTGTAAACGTAATTTATTTAGCTTTAATTTTTTTTTTTTTTGTAATTGTCTCTCATCGGTCCAAGTAATCTTTATAGCTTTTTTTTTTTTGCTTTTAAAAATGTTCTCAATACGACTAAAAAATCTGGCCAGCTTTTTGCATCTAAATTATATTTACGTGGTCAGCAATCGAGAGCGATCGCTCCTGCTTCCTGACCAAGCCTAATATATATATATATATATATATATATATATATATATATATATATATATATATATATATATATATATATATATATATATATATATATATATATATATATATATATATATATATATATATATTGAGTGCTTGCTTCATAAGTGAGAGGTTTCAAGTTTGATCCCCACCATGTCCCTGGTAGTACCACGCTCAACTTGTTTCTCCACGCAGCTGCCTTGTTCGTCAAGTTTTGTGTTTCGGAGTTATAGAGTTGAGAGAGGGTTATAACCACATAACAATATATATATATATATATATATATATATATATATATATATATATATATATATATATATATATATATATGTATATATATATATATATATATATATATATATATATATATATATATATATATATATATATATATCAAAAATATATTAATAATATTTTTTTGTATAAGTAAATATATTGAAAAAATGTTTATATAAATAATATATATTTTTGGGGATAGTGCAAAACCGCGTAAAAATAGCATTGGATAATACAGCGTATTTATAGTACATTTCTTTTTTACTGGAGAAGTTTAAAACTTTATAAATTTTTTATTTTAACTGATTTTTGGTTCAATAGTATAAAGAGTATTATTCATGTTTTTTGTAATCTCAACAATAAATATTTGGTGTTAAAATTAATAATATCCAAATTTAGTAGCCAATGTTAGTTAAACTCTCACATACACAGATGAACAAAAAGCCAAAACTATCCTTTGAAACATAAAACAAACAAGAATTAATAAAATAATAAAATAGAAAAACCAGAATAATTATGATAACAGAATTCCATTCAGGTAAGAATAAGAGTAATCTGTGTGTGAGGTAGATTATAGAATTTGGAAAGAAATAATGGCAAGCACGATAAAGGTAAACAACCTAAGCAGATGTTAACTTTGCAATCAATTGTATATATGGTTTCCATGAGAGATCAATAGTAAACGATAATTCAAGAAGAGGTCAAGAAAAGGACATAAGGAGAGGATTACCATTATCAATATAACAATGTTGACAGTATTTGCATTAGTTGCTCGCAATAAATATTTGATTTTTGCTGGAATTCACAAGCCACTGCAAGCATCTGACTGTCACAGTAGAGATCAAATTTCGGTTCATCTGCCTATTCTAAGCAATTAAAAAGAAAACTTTTTTTCAAAACATGAGTATAAAGTTGAGTCAACAATAAATAGAATCACTTTAGATGTCAGATTATCTGTGAGATCATTAATATAGATAAGAAATAAAATAGGATTAAAAACTCAATCTTGAGGAACCCCAGAAAATACTGGAAAAGAAGAGAGTGTTGGTTTTGGAGGATGACTTTAATAAAGCAGTTAAAAAGAAACAATTTGATAATATCATAAATTTTAACAAATACACTATAGAAAGCAAACTTGTGGAAAAGATCAGCATGCCAACTTTAATTGAAAGCTTTAGATGTGTATAAGATATGTCAAAAGCAATAACTCTTTTGTTGCTGCCTTTATCTGATGCACAATAATATCTTTCAGTCGCAGCAGTTAGCAAGTCAGCAATAGAATGAGGAAATAGAAAAACATAATGATTGTCAGACAGTAAGGTATTAGACTTAAAATAGGTTTTTAAAAGTTTGATTATAGGTTTTTAGAAGACCTTGTTAATAACAGAGAAAAGTCTGATTGGATGATAGTTGGAGGGGTCAGAATGTCTTATGTATATCATATAAAAGTAGAATATATTATATATATATATATATATATTTATATATATATATATATATATTTATATATATATATATATATATATATATATATATATATATATATATATATATATATATATATATATATATATATATATATATATATATATATATATAATCAATGTTATCTATCTATCTTTCTCTCTCTCTCACTCTCTCTCCCTCTCTCTCTCTCTCTCTCTCTCTCTATATATATATATATATATATATATATATATATATATATATATATATATATATATATATATATATATATATATATATGTATATATATATATATGTATATATATATATATATTTATATATATATATATATATATATATATACACACACACATATATATAAACATTTTCATTTTAGGATATTTTTTGAAGTGATAAAAACTATGTATTTGGTTAACAGCTGTTGGATAGTTGAAGGAAAGGTTTCTCAAAAATATTGTATTTTGTTAATTATTTTAAATTTGTAGGATGACTCTTTTCCATTTTTTCACATAAAATAGTTCCTTCTTTTTAAAGTCTTATTTCAAATTTGATTTCATATTGATTTCATACAAACCTCAGTGGCTCTATATGTATGTATGTATGTATGTATGTATGTATGTATGTATGTATGTATGTATGTATGTATGTATGTATGTATGTATGTATGTATGTATGTATGTATGTATGTATGTATGTATGTATGTATGTATGTGTGTATGTAAATATGTATGTATATAAATATGTATTAAAATATGTATGTATATATACACACACACATACACACACGTATATCAAAGTAATTTTTTTTTATTGACTCATTAAATTGAATTTAGAATTTAAGCTTGATCAATTTATCAATGCAATTTCCAAAATATGCTTGTTTGATTTTACTCACCCTAAAGTTTGTGTATTTGTTCATAAAAACGCTCATTAACAGATATAAAAGTTCTACAAAGGTAACTCCAATATTGACACAATTTTATATTCATTTTTTTTTTTAATGTGTGTGTGTTTTATACTAACTTTGAATTAAGTTTACAACAAGATTTTTAATTATTCCTTGACTTTTTTTTTTATCTGAAAAGGTTTCATGGATGTCATTTGATGATACTAACTGGAAAGAAGAGTATATGTATAAGCATGTAACAACTTTATTAAAAAAACAAGATCACTTCAAGTATGGTTTAACTTTTAATTAATACTTTTGTTTTTTGGAAAGTGTTAGAATTAGATGATAATCAATTGTCATAATATATTTAAGTGATTTTAATAAGGTAAGTATAAAAATGTCAACAAAGTAAACTCTATTGTTATTACTGTATGACTTGCTGTTTATTCTGTAAATAAATAAAAAAATGTACAAAATAAATGCATCAACATAATGGAAAAAATGGAAGTAAATAAATAAGGAAAAATAAATGTTCAAAATGAATAATTGTACATTTACATATTGTAGCTCTAAAAATTGTACATTTCAAATTTGAGAGTTTTTAATACAAGGCTGTTATTTCTTGTATTAAGTATCAAGTAAGATTTAATTTGTATGTATTATTTAAAATTGCTTTAGCTGTTACCTTCCAATTGTATTGATATGGTTAAACATGTTTTTTGCTTTTTTAAATTAAGCATAAATTTATTGTATTGGTTTGAATATATTTATTATATTGCTTTGTATTCATTTGAAATCTTTTAAAGGTAGCTCTTATCTTGATTGAGTTTAATTTAAATGAAGACGGACACTGTGCATGTGTCGTAGTATAATTATGGAGGTTTAAAAAATTTTAAAGGCGTCTAATGACCAAATTTACTTTTTTTAAAGCATTATTTTTACCCAAGCGTCTGTTTTTTTTTTAAAATATAATAAAATTATTATTACATTTTATGTTATTGTCCATATTAACTCCCAAGTAAATGTGCTGGTTCCCAGACTCCAATCGTTGCTGTTTTATGACATTTAAAATCTTTAATAAATCAATTAAAAAAAATTTTGTTTATATTTTGTTTACTTGTTTCAAATAACATGGCTTCAAATAACAAATCTTTCTTGGGTATAAAATAATGACCAAGTAATTGTTTTCATAGCAGTGTCTTTTATAATTAAGATCTCTATATAGTTTGAATTCTTTATTTTTTCTAGGAAAAGTAAAATTGGTATAGTTAATGAGTTTCTCTAGAATTTGACTACGTCATTTAAAAGGATTAAAAGTAATAGAGGGTTTAATCAATATAAAACGCTGTGAATACTAACGTTCTTTAGCTTTAAATTTTTATTTTTTAAATATGTTGTTACTAATCATACTAGAAGCTCAATTCCAAAAGTTTTTCAAAAAATATTCATTGGTTTCGTAGATTTCAAAGTTTATTTATTGGTTCTCTGGGTTTCAATGAATACTAGGTGGTCCTCTGGATTTCACAGATAATCATTATTTCTCTATAAAATGGATTTCAAAGTGTGCTAGAATTCACTTTAAACAGACAAAATTAATAACTAATTAAATATTAAATATTTATTTACTAAATTTGGCATATGAGGTCTGCAATTCTTATGAAAGTAATAATTTTATATTTGGTTGATATGGATGCCTAATTTTGCATAGCCACAACCTATTCTGATAGTTGCAGATTTTTCATGAGTGCTTTATTAACTAAATTTAATATGAGTACCAATACCTTGTCGCATTTTATATAAAAGTGATATTTTTTTCATTTACTTGCTATGGATACCTATATTGCTTAACAACCAGATACTTTCCTTAGTTACAAAGAGGTACATGAATTTTTGAAAAATATTTATCGGATTTGCAACCTTCCTAACTTAAATAAGAATTAAATATTGAGGAAATTATTTTTTTTTTCATCTCTTAGAGAATTGTTAGTCAGATAAATCTTTGACCAGCAGTCATGGCTTTATTTCTTAGTGTTTGGCAACCCTGTTTAGTTAACCCAAAATCTAATAAAATAGCTAAAGTTTTTGTGGGAGAATATGGCTTCTTTTGGCCTTTCTACTTGCTTTAAAAGATGAATAGCAGATAATAGTAGCTCTTCTGATGTTCTCTATCCCTTTTGTTGGGATTTTCAAATTGTACTTTTGCCCTTCCTATGGAACTGGAACTAACTGGGGACAGTGATAGTGATAGTGGAGTTTATTTGTCTAAACAAATATAAATCTCATTTAAGTAATCCATTGATATTTTTTTAATTACTGTATTGATATTATATGCAATTCTCCATCTTATTTTATAACTTTTAGTGAATTCATTTCATTTGTCACAGACTTATTATGTTTATTTTAAACTATAATAAACATAACAAGTCTATATGTTCTATCAGATTATATATTTTCAGCAAAACTTAAAAATACTTGTCAAAACTTTTAAAAGTGTTTTTAATATATAAATAAACATTACTTCACTATTAGGAAAATAAGAAAATTAAAAAAAAAACATGCTATTGAAGAAAGCATTCTTAATATTTAAGCATGGTTTTTTTTAAAAGTAATAGCTAATGTATATATATATATATATATATATATATATATATATATATATATATATATATATATATATATATATATATATACATATACATATACATATACATATACATATACATATATATATATATATATATATATATATATATATATATATATATATATATATATATATATATATATATATATATATATATATATATATATATATATATATATATATATATATATATATATATATATATATATATATATATATATATATATATATATATATATATATATATATATATATATATATATATATATATATATATATATACATATACATAAAATATTAAAAAGACTTCGGAATAATGAGAACATTGTTATTACACGACCCGACAAAAGGAATGGTATAATTATTCTTAATAAAGTTGATTATATAAATTCATTACATAATATTATAAGTAATAAGGCTAAGTTTAAAGAATTAAAAGTGGATCCAAATATAAAAAGAGAAACATCTTTACAAGTGTATCTTGAAAACTTTATAAACTTAAATGTTTTGAAAAAAACAATTACACTAAAGTCTATCCTGTAGGATCTCAAGCTGCAAGAATTTATGTGTTGCCTAAAATGCATAAAGTTAGTAAAGATAGTTCTCTTCCAATATTTTGACCTATCATCTCAACAATTGGAACATATGAATATCAACAATTGGAACATATGACTACAACCTTGCCAAACATCTTTCCCATATATTGTCTCCTCATATACCTAAACAATTTTGCACTTTAGACTTATTTTCTTTTGTTGAAGAACTAAAACAAACTAATGTAACTAATAAATTTATAGTTTCATATGATGTTGAAAGTTTGTTCATGGATATGCCACTTAAGGAAACCGTCAACATAGCAACTGATTTATTTTTTGAAGATTAAATTAACTAAAATTAACGTTTTTCAAAAGTTCACTTTAAAAAATTACTTCAGATTTCCACATCCTGTTCACATTTTTTATATTTGACAGAAAATATTATGATCAAACGGATGGTGTTGCTATGGCTTCTCCTTTAGCGCCTATCTTAGCTAATATTTTTGTTGGATTTCATGAACAAACATGGATCAATATCTGCTCCTTTACAGCACCAATATTTTATAAACAGTATGTAGATGATGTAATTGCTATTATTAATTCTGAATATGAAGCTCAAGAATTTTTTAAACACCTCAATAAACAACATAAAAGTTTGAAACCTACAATGGAAAAAATAACAAGATAACCAGATTGCCTTTTTAGATACTTATTAAAAAATCCAATTCATTTTGACTTCAGTTTATCACAAAAAAACGTATACAGGTCTTTTACAAAAATTTTTAAGTTTTATTCCTTCTTGCTAAAAATTTGGACTTGTTCGTTGTTTGATTGATCGTACATTTAAAATTAATAATACTTAGTTTGGTTTTGATAAAAATATTAAGAATCTATCATTAGTTTTACAAAAAAATAAATTTCCACAAAAAATTATTGACTCTGAAATTAAATCTTACATTGATAAGAAAATAAACCCATCTGTTTCTAAAATTGTTAATAGCTTAAATATAAGATACTTTAAGCTTCAATACATTAGAATGTACTCTAGTTATACTAAAATGAAAATTTCAAAAATTGTATTTAAATATTCCAAGGATGTTCTAATAAAATTAATTTTCACTACTTATAAAATACAAGTTGGTTTTGCCTAAAAGAGTCACTTCCTAAACTGCTTAAATCTCATGTTGTCTATAAATTTTCTTGCACTGGCTGTAATGCTGTAATGTATATATATATATATATATATATATATATATATATATATATATATATATATATATATATATATATATATATATATATATATATATATATATATATATATATATATATATATATATATATATATATATAACTATATATGTGTGTATATATATATAATTATATATATATGTATATATATATATATATATATATATATATATATATATATATATATATATATATATATATATATATATATATATATATATATATATATATATATATATATATATAAGCCTCGCAATTAGGAAAAATGAGGTCGGCAATATTTTGCTGAGCTCAATCTTTTTGAGGTCGGCAAAAATTTTTTGATACAAAGGTCTGACCATAAAACATAGAAACAAGTTCGGCAAATACTTTCAGGTCAGCAGTTAGGTTGGCGTTGCCGAATGCTGACCCTGATTCCAAGGATTATATATATATATATATATGTATATATATATATATATATATATATATATATATATATATATATATATATATATATATATATATATATATATATAGATATAGATATAGATATATAGATATATATATATAGATACATATATATATATAAATACTATTAAAAAATTTGATATATTAATTACTAGTTTTTTAAACAGGCCTCCTGAGTTTCAAAGTTCATTATCCAAGCATGCAATCAAGACAAAGCTGCAGTCTAAAATTTACAAATACACCCCAGGTAAGATAAAGAACTATTTTACACATAATTTATTTTCTAATTTACTTTTTCTAAGTTTTGGTATTTACTAACTGGCGTTGAACTTTTGTTCTCTTTATAGAATTTCAATACTCTATTCGAATGCTGTCATCAGGCTTTGTTTCAATATTAGTCATTTACATAGTATGAATATTTTTATTTAGTAAATATTGAGTAAAAATAAATAATGCAGTTTTAGAATATTGATTTTTGATCATTAGATCATCATTAAGATTTTCATACAGTACAAGATTATAATTGGACATGACGGTGTTGAAGGTAAAATTATTGCTATCAGCAATATTATCATTGCAATTGGTTGGGTGGAAAGTGTGCAGTTGAACCAGTACATTACTGGTTTTAAAGGTAAAAATTCTGTTTTTTTTGTTTTACTTTTAAATAAATTTGGATATATTAAAGTTATTAGTAAAATTTTAACAGTTTTACAGTGTCACTTTACAAACAATCAAAGTTTAAAATAAATAAAACATTTTGGATCTCTAGATTGATCTCATTTGATTTACATATGAAAAATGATTTTTACATGTTTCATAAAATTATGTTATACACAATTATGCTATTTTAAATACATCTAGATTATAGCTATATATTACAATTATTATAACTGCAAGTAATGTTAACAGTTATATTAAGGGGCAACTATAAAGTATGTGCGCTGGTGTGGGTTTAGGGGGCTAGCTTATAGTGTTCAACTGCTATGGTTGTTGATCCCAAAAGCAAGTTTAATATTTTTCTTAAAAATATTTTTTCATATTAATAAAAAGCTACAAATTTTTCAAGTATATGAAAGACAGTTAGGAAATCATAACAAAACTGTTTTGATTAAATTGTTAAAACGTTTTGAATCTCAGAAAATGTTTTAATCTATTACACAACAAAATATTATGGAACAAGTCTAAGTTTACATATATCTGTGTTTTTTAGTGACTACTGTTTGGATGGCTTTAAGTTTCACAATTTGCTTGAAGTTTAATTTAAATAATCCATTAAAGTGGGTTAAAATGAATTTGAACATAAAAAATGATATGAAAGTAAAAATTAATTTGAACGTAAAAATTAATTTGGACGTAAAAATTGATATGAACGTAAAATTGATTTGAACATAAAAATTAATATGAACGTAAAATTGATTTGAACTTAAAAATTGATTTAAAACATTAAAGCGATTGCTTTAATTGTTAAATCGAGTAATAACAATAATATTAGCAGAAGATTTCATTAATAAAGACAGTAACAGCAGCAACAAAAATTAATTTAGTATTTAGTATTTAGTTTTATTTGTCTTTATGTATAAAATCAATGCATTTAACACTTTTGTTTAGTAAAAAATAAAATCAACATGTATCAAGCAATATATAAGCGCAATATAACAATCTATTTTTGAACTATAGTTCATGAGTTTTGAATGCATTCTATTAATTTTTAGAAGCAATAAGGTTCAGAATATGGCAAATGCATCTGGTATAAAATGAAAGCTGCAAGTGTACACTTGAAATATCTGGATTTTTAATTAATTCACAAACCTCCTGTCAACAAAGACAAAGAGTAATTTCTGTTTGCCTTTGTTATCTTTTTAATTTATCTTTTTTATTTTCACTTGCTTTTTCTGTTTCTGCATCTCCTTCTTTAAGTTTTTCACCTGTCAGCTTTAGGTCATATTCAAATACCATTCACTTTGAAAAAGCTTTCACAAAATTACTTGCACTTTTAGTGACTGTTGCATCAGATTTTTCTTAACTCCATGTGATAAAAGTTGTGTACATCAAATATTACTTTACTTATTTATCATAAGAATGTAAGCCAGTGAACCAACAACATGTAAGAGCATTAGTTTTTCTCATCAGGCATCATCTATATCAACATGTTCTTCATGATATTTTTTTAGCTCCTGGGGATAGGCTCAATACAAGTGCTACAAAATTGCAGCAAAAAATTGCTAGTTGCATTCCTGCCCCATGACAGATCATTGGTACAATTAACACATAAGGAAATAAATTAGTCTTTTTCTTAAATTATTTTGAAAAATGGTCCATCAAAAATAACCAGTAAGCCTATATCAATGGCTTCAAAAATTTAAATATAAATAATCTTTAACTACACTGAACCTCAAAAAAAAATTAAATGATTCAAATTAAATTTTAACTCTTCAAAATCACTAAATCATGTAAGCTATGAGTTCAAATCAAAATTAAAACTTACATATGTGATGATTTCAAATCAAGTTGGGAGAAAACCTTTACAATATAATTTCTTATGGTTTATTGACATCTCTTTCTTTTCTTTAATTTTTTAAAGTTTTATTGATCAATTATATTTGGTTTATAATTTTCTAAAGAAAACCTTTTCTAAAGAGTTTTTCTAAACTTACATTGATTCTTGTTTGATTTTTTGTTGATAAAGTTCAACTAAGCTTAAAATATTTAAATTTAAACTTCAATATTTTGAACTTAGTTTAACTTTTTAAAAAAGTTTAAAATTTTTTAAAAAGTAAATATATTTTAGCAATAAAAGAAAAAAAAAAAAATTAAAGACATGATGATTTTTAAAATCCTGATTTTCAAGTCAACAATAAAAGTTTTTAATTATTTCATATTTTCTTAGAAACCCTTTTTACTACTATAAATTTATAAATTTTACTACTGTAAAACAACTCTTTATACCTTTAGCTAGCCCCCTCACACCTCACCAGCGCACATACCTTGTAAACACCCCTTAACTTAATTGTTTACTTTATACTACTATAAATAGATTTTATGAATGATGGTGTGCATAGCTAAGAATTTTTTTTTAATCACAATTCACTTCTTACAAAGCTGCAAGCAACCACTATTAAGTGAAAAATTCACTTCTTACAAAGCTGCAAGCAACCACTATTAAGTGAAAAATTCACTTCTACCAAAGCTGCAAGCAACCACTATTAAGTGAAAAATTCACTTCTTACAAAGCTGCAAGCAACCACTATTAAGTGAAAAATTCACTTCTTACAAAGCTGCAAGCAACCACTATTAAGTGAAAAATTCACTTCTTACAAAGCTGCAAGCAACCACTATTAAGTGAAAAATTCACTTCTTACAAAGCTGCAAGCAACCACTATTAAGTGAAAAATTCACTTCTTACAAAGCTGCAAGCAACCACTTTTAAGTGAAAAATTACTAGAAAACTAGGAGTAGAGTTAAAGATCAAAGAAATGGTTGACAGAAGACCTAAAAAGTTGAAAGTTGTATGAGTCAGTAAAACATGTAGATGGGGTTGAAGTGCAAGAAAGAAATCTACATTAATAAAAGTTTTTAGAGCCCAAAAGGACAGATACAGTAAAAGGATGTGAATTTGCTGAATGACGAGTCAAGTGAGAACAAGTTTTGGTTGATGGAACCAATCAAAACTCATTTTCACTTGACAAATGAGAGATCAAAGCTCCTTTGAGCCGCTGTCATGATAATATTTTTAAAAAAGAAAAAGAGATGCAACCTTACAATAATTGAAGAGAGGCTGAAGCTCAGCAGATAAAGCAGGTCATACTTTGTTTTTTAGAGGTTTGTAGATGCAGAGAATGGAATAAGGAGTAAGATAATGATGAGCACAATAAAGCAAAGAAACCAGATACTAACTTTGCAATTGATTGTATATATATTTCTGTAAAAGGTGAGTGTGAATGATAATCCTAGAAGATGTAAAGAAAATGACTCAGTGAGAGGGTTGCCTATAGTATAGGAATGTTGACAATAGTACAATATGACAATAGTTAAAGTTTACAAGCCACTGCAAGCCCCAATCTGTTAAAGAAGTAAGATCAGATTCAAGATCTGCTGCCTGTTCTAAGAGATTGAGAACAAAACAGGACCAAGGATACAACTTTGAGGTATCCCAGAAGTTATCGGAAATGAAGAAGAGTGTTGGCCTTTGAGGATAACTTTAAAAGAGCAGTTAGAAAGAAATGATTTGATAATCTCAAAAACTTTCCCATATACACCATATGAAGCAAGCTTATAGAGAAGACCAGCATGCCTAGTCATCAATAACAACTATACTGGCAGAGTAAAGAGATTATTGAGATAATTTGATCAGAAATTACATTTAAAAGAGTTCAGTCTTGAGAAGGAGAATGTCCATGCCAAGCATGTGACAATTAGAGTCATTGCAAATTAATGGATAGTATCCATCAATACTGAGATCTGAAGAAGGAACAGCCTAATTTAAATTATTCTCACAAAGAGCTAGCAAGTCTGGAGAATTTTTCAAAAAGTAAGATTTAACTGATGAAAGGTTATTTTGCAGACCGCTAATATTTTTGAAAGATATATTGAAACAGATAAGTGGTGGTGATGGTTTTTTGTGTTTAACAATTTTGGAACTTGACTCATTCTTAGATATCACATGGGTTTCCAGCAGTGAGTTATGCACTTGTCTCAGTAATGCTAACTAACTAAAAGTCATAACTTAGAGCTCCTGATGATGCCTCAATAATGTATGTCTAAAGTAATACAAGGACATCATTAATGCACAACATGGAACTGTTTATACTCTGATATTTTGCAGCTGTTGATAAAATCAGCCTCTCTGAGAGCCTTGTTATGAGATTTTGTTGTGTAATGCAAGTAATTGTTATTTTACTCAATAAATATATTTACATCATTAAAAATTAAATTATGTCAGTTGTGTATTTTAAAATACTGCATTGTAATGCAAGTAATTGTTATTTTACTCAATAAATATATTTACATCATTAAAAATTAAATTATGTCAGTTGTGTATTTTAAAATACTGCATTGTAGTTGAGTTTAATTTGAAACCACATAAAAAATCATTTTAACTCTTTATCTTTATTAAATGATTATAATATATCTTTAAATTAAACAGTAATGTTATAAATAGAATTATCAGTTTAAATATGTTTTTGTAATTAAAAAAAAGTATTTCCGATTTTAAAAAACTTATACTTACTTCATCTTATACTATTTATTTCTTTAAACTTTTGCCTTATATTTTTAAATTAAAGATGAAATTGTTCATGGTTGAATTTCTTAACAGTCAAAGAATAAACAAAAAAGTGTGTGTGTGGGGAGGGGGGGGGGAGAATAGGGGAACTGCTTCCCTGCCCTCTTTCCCCCTACCCCCTCCAGGCTCTGTTGACACTAATCGCACCTACAACTTTATTTAGTAGTGTGTTCCATTGAACAAGGCAGTTGTTGTCCATTTCATCAAAGCGCTTGCAATGACAGTAGCTTGGTGAGATTTTAAGTTAAGTATTATGTTCTGCTAACTGAATTGAAGTTTTTGGGTGATTTACAATTTTATTTTGAGTAATTTGCTTTTAAAGTTTTAAGGTTAATTTGTAAATAGTTATGAAATTTTATTTTATGAAATTATAAATAAAGTTTTTAAGTTAATTTACATTATGTCTGTAATTTACTAGTAAGTTACATAAATAGATGATAGACTTAATATATTTTATAAATTTAAGCCATGATTGTAAAATTTTCAAAATTGTTTTCATGTTGATGGTAAAATATTTAGTTGTATCTTGCTTTATAAGTAAAAAATTAATTTATTTGTGTATTAAAACACCTTTGTTTAATACACAAAAATTTATTTTTTAACATTTTTTTAGTGAGTGTGTATTTGGCGCTTTCTTTAACTATAGTTACATTTTTACTCGTTCTTTTTAATTCATTTAAATGCTACCGGTAAGTTTTGCAATATATTCTTATTTTTTATTTAATAAAGAATTTTCATAAAACTTGTTATTTATGCTGGTAGGTTAACAAGATTTTTAAATCATCATTTGCTATATATTTGGATTAGTTCAATTACCAGTTTGCTATATAATTTCTAATAAAATAACAGGCTGAAACTTTGAAAGTTTTATAACAAAGTCATTGACTATTTCTGCAGAAAACGTAAATATTCAAAGCATGAAATTTAATAATGTAAATGTAAAATCTGTAATTTTGTTGAATCTCTAGAATGCGCATTAAGGAAAATTTCATTATAAATAAACTCTAACATTATTAAATAAAAACAAATAAACACCTAAATAAGTTTTCATTTTTGCAGGTCATTCATTATAATTTGTAACTTAATCAATATTGCTTATATTTTTTATATAAGTATTGAATTATTTCTAAGTGAATTTAAGGTATAATTTTAATCATTAAAAGTTAAATTGTGTTGTAGCGTATTTAAAGTTATGCGCTGTATTTAAATTTTGTTTTAATCTGTGTTAAAATCTTTTTAACAAGAAAGAAATCTAAATTTAAATTTGCTATTTGAATTAGATTATATTTCTTTATTAATTACTTTTTAAAATTATTTTATATATAACATAGTAATCTTTTGTTTGTCTTATCACAATTTAGTTTTTTTTTTTTTTTTAAGTATTTAATGAACTATTTATAATAAATATTGTAAACAATTTATAGTTTATTAGAGACTATGCAATAATAGTTTTCATTCATAAATAAAATTTATGTCATACAACATTGAGTTAAAAACAAAAAGTTTTAATTCCATACATGAAGAAAATTCCCAAAAACTAGAGATTCTACAAAAAGTGATTTTGTTAAAATACCCAATACTGAATATTTGGCTAGGCGCTCAGTTAAATCACAGAGTATTTGGCTGCCAAATATTTGACAACATTTAGTTATTTTGAGGGTTTCAAACTGCCTCATTGAAGTGTATATGTTAACTACGCTGTGTGGCATTTTTGTTTCATTTGTGACTAAATTGTCACAAGCACACGTTGTTTATTGACTTTTACATGAAATTGTTTTTACTATATGTCATGTATAAAAGCATCATACTCTTCAAACCATTCAAAAAGATTAAAAAGCCAGCTTAGGTATATATTTCATTTTGAATACGATTTCTGAAGTTGCTAAAATCAATTAGCACAAAGAACTCCAAACTAATTAAAATAATACCTTCTCTACAACCTGAACTTAAAGCATGGTTTATTTTTAATTGGAATGGCAATTATACAGTTGCCTTTTTTATTGATGCTACTAGACACAAGTGATGACCAGCACTGGGGTCTAGTAGCACAGATGATTCATCTCCACTTTGTAAGAAAAAGAAATTGTAAATGAAAGCAATCAAACTAATCTCTACAGAAAATATGCACACATAAAGATGTGGAAAAGAAAAATTAAATTGCAAGTGGTTTTTATATATTAATCTATTTGCTTAAATTAGACAACAAAGCCTTACAAGTGGTAGTCAGCAAATGCAAAACATTATCCAAAAAAACTTGCTAAGATTTTCTTATTAATTGCGGTACATAGTGAATGGCTATTTTTATAAGTACAATAGTTTATGAATTAAACTGCAATCATTTGCTATCATCAAACAATAAAAATGTTTTTACCATATCTTACCACCTATAGATTTTAGTATCAAATATGCTAACTGTTTGTTAAAATAAAAAAATAAATAAATAGTTATATGTAAACTTTTTTTTTATTACAACTTAGTATTTGGTATTCAGCATAGGTTGCAATATTCTGCCAAATACTGAATATTTAAAAAAATTTATTAAAAATATGCAATATTCAGCTGAGTAGTTTGTAATATTTAGCTGAGTAGTTTGCAATATTTGGCCAAATACAGAATATTAAAAAAGCAGAATAGACTGAATACTAAATGATCACAGAATATTTGCAAAACCATTTAATATTATTAGTTTTTAAAATCATATTTATTTAAAGATTTTGATTAAAAAAATTGTTTAACACTTTTAATAAAAAATTAAATTTGCAGTTACATGTTTTTTACAATATTTAATTTAATCAAAGTATAAGTTGTATACACAATTTAAAAAAAAAAAGTTTCTAATCAATAAAAAATTTTTTTTATGTAAATTTCTTTTATAAAATGCGTACTGCATAGCACTTCTTAACAAGGCCTCAATTGAATCGATTATTTCAGAAACTCGTTAAGAGCAAATTTTCTGATTTTGAGAAAACTTGAAAAAACTTTTCCAGCAAGACAATGCTTTTTATTCTTGATTTCTCATATTTTTTTATGGTAGTACTTAATAAAGTAGTACTTTTTATGATTTTTTTTTGGACATAATAAATGTATACAAATGTTGTACTTAACCTGTTTCTGCAGTAAATTACCATTTTTATCATAGTTAAACCTGTATCCTGGATGTTTTTATTTTCTAGCGAATAAAAATTATCCCATGTTTGGTCTATTACTAATTTGTTAATGATTGAAGAGCATTTAAATAATTTACATAAAATACCCTGTGGTTTAATTTTGCTGGAAATTTGCTTATTGTTGTAGTTTTTATAGGCCTCACCTTTAACTCTGGCACCATGTATTTTATTGTGTTGGTAATTTTCCTCATAAACCACTCCACGTCTCCGTTTAAGTTGAGGTTCATCTTTTTCTGTACTAGACTTTATTTTTCACCTTAATAAAGACTATTAATAGTCTTTAAATAAATATAATATTACAAAACATTAAGTCATTAACACGTGTTTTAGCGCAATTTTGATCAAGTAATATCAAATAATTGTATTGTCAAAGATAATATCAACAACAAACACATGTTAAAACAATATTAAATGGAAAAAGAATACGGCATTCTAGCTCAATTAATAATAAATATAATTTATAAATACATCAGAATACAAATTCCCACAGTTTATCACAGAAAGCCGATAAGCACCGCCACTTAACGGGTTTCTGCACTTAACACACTATTTGACCATAAATTTAATAGCTATAGATATTCGGTACTTGACGGGTTTATGCACAAAACGATGTGTATATCTTTAAAGAATAATAAATTGAACCTAACTCATTTTTTTAAATTTTGGCGTTTGACGGGTTTCTGAAATAATTGATTCAATTCAAGTAGCATCACAAGACTAGATTAAGACATTTAAAATATGTTTTTTAAATGTGTTTTTAAATGACATTTAAAAACACATTTAAACTTAATACTGTCAGGTTAACTATATTGTATTTTAATCTAATATAACAATAAATGCCGGTGTTAAAATAAAGTGCAGTTGTATATAGTCAGTTTTTTGATTGAGAGTTGTTAAAGTGAGATTGGTAGAAGAATATCATATATTTTCTAGTCTATATTGTCTTAGGATTTAACTAAAATAGCTCATTATCTGGGCAGTTTTTTAAATTAACTTTTTTTTTTTGATTTTTAATTTATTCTAACAAATATATTTTTTAGCAAATATATGTAAGAATATAGTGCGAAAATATTTGTGTGACAAAAAATATCTAATAAAGTTTTAGTTGAAGGAACTTTTTTGTAGCTATTTATAATCTCATTAAAGCAAAAATGCTTGTATTACTTTGATTATTTATGTTTGTTTTTTTATACTTCAACTTCTATAAGCTACTATAATGCTGTTTAGTTTAATAAAACTTTTTTTGGTATTGTTTTGATACCACCAAGCATTACTGCAGAGGGTAATTAATGAGTAACAAATAGAATAAATGTTATTGATTGATTTGGAATTTAATTTTTTGAAATATAAGTACTCTCTGATGCTTAATAAAAGGGTGAGGTAATAAAAAGGAAGGGGGTGGGAATTTAAGTTTAGATTTAATAAATAGGGTGGGGCTCTTAATAAAAGGTTTGGTGGAAATTTTTTTACAGAACACAGGTAAAACAATTTTAATTTGAGTGTGACTTGCTTCTTTTTCATCATAATTTCAATAGGATTAAATTTAAATTTTATACAATGAGGAGAAATAAGCAAAAAGCCAATTTTTGACAAATTGAAATTTACTTTTAAATTTTTAAAAAATTTTTTTTAGGTTTTTTAAAAGTTGATGATTTTTAAAGTCTGAATATTTTTATTCTTTATATAAAATTTTTTTTATCAGTTACTCAGTTTTAATAAATTTTTATCAGTGACATAAGTTTTTATAAGTTTGGTGTGGGAGAAAAAATTTCCTAAAACTGTTTTACTACTTAAAAATTTATTTAATTAAACAGTTTAATGCTTAAGAGGTTTTATACTTAAATAAATTTTGGGCAAATATCAGTTGATTTTGGTCAGTTAAAACAATGAGTTGGATTGATATTGACTAAATCATATAAAAACAAAAGTGAAATGTTAATATGTATTTTTTTATTTTCAGAACTCACATTTTAAAGTTACGTAAAGGAGATTGGTCTTTTCTGCCCAGCTCTCTTCGTCGTAAACAATTTAATGCTATTACTCCTACATCACTCATGGTAAAAATTTAAAATTTTATCAGTTTTTTTCTAAATTAACTTTATATGTATATATATGTATATATATACATATAAATATATATACATATATATACTTTATATGTATATATATGTATATATATATATGTATATATATATATATATATACATATATATATACACTACCCTCCATTATTATTAGAATAATTGTACTTTTCAAAATTATAAAAGTTTTACTTGTTATCATGAGAGAAATTGAAAAAAAAATTACTGTTTGTTAAGTTTACATAAAAAGAATTTAAAAGTTCCACTAAATTAGTTTATAGTTTACTTTTATCTATGTAACCCTTTTTCGCGGCAATGACAGCTTTACATATTCTTGGCACTCTACTTAGCAACTTTTCCAGTTTTTTGAAGTTAATTTTATGCCTCTCAATATTAATTTTTTTCTGCATATTATTTGGACCATTAGGCATTAGTTTTTTTTATATCTTTTTAATTCACGCAATTAAAATTTGTGAGAGAAAGATCTGGTGATTGAGGAGGCCAAATCATTCTTTTCAATATTTGATTATTCTCAAACTCACTCAAATAATTTCTACCAAGATTTGAAGAATGCTTTGGATTGCTCTCTTCTTGAAAAATGAGTCTTACCACCAAAACAGCCCCAAACTATTACCATGTTTCAAAGTAGGTATTACACACTGTTTTTTCCTCCATTCACCAACCTTTTTTTTTGATAAAAGATCTTTTCTTAGAACCGAAGATTTAAAACTTTGACTTGTCTGTCCAAAGAACACATTTCCAGGCATTGAATGTCCATTTTTCGTGTAGTTTTGCCCAATCTAGTTTCTTTTTTTATTTTAGAGCTGAAGGAATGGTTTCCTTGCAGCTATTCTGCCACCAAGTCCTGCTTGATATATATATATATATATATATATATATATATATATATATATATATATATATATATATATATATATATATATATATATATATATATATATATATATATATATATATATATATATATATATATATAATTTATATATATATATATATATATATATAAATTACTTTCTCTATATACTTGATATAATTAGCCAAATGCAAATATTACCCCTTATTTAATATCAAACAGTTTTTTAAAAGCACTATATATGTTTTTATATATTAGCTTCATTTAAAATAAGAAACATATATATATATATATATATATATATATATATATATATATATATATATATATATATATATATATATATATATATATATATATACAAAAAAATTTATTTGGATTGTATACATATGCGCTCTTTCCACATTACATTTTCATCTAAAACTACACTTACTTTATATAAACTTCACATTAACATCAAATTTGATAATTTCCGTCAGAAGTGCCTGGATACAAAGTGGCTTAATACACTATGTTATTCACAAAGCATTTTTGATTTAGAGGGCACTTGCTTTTAATAATACAACTGCGATGTTAATTGGAATCAGATGTGTTGTTTTTCATTATATAATGGTTATGAGAGTTAACTATTGATTTAATGTTTGGCATACAACTGTAACTCACCTTTAGAGTATTTCTGTTAAAACTCTTGTGGTATTTATGGCCAGCTGGGAAGTGTTTGTCTATCAAACTCAAAAATAGTTTACCAATTTTTGTAGAAACAATTTTACTATATGAGGGGTTAAACCAGATTATATTGCGCTTACGATTTTTTGATAGAGGCTGGATAGGTTTTGGAATATAGTTAAGTTTGAATTTGTAACCAGACTTTTTTAATGCATCCTAATACACATCAGGTGAGTTTGGAAAAATATTTTCATTAGATGAATTAGCTGACAGCCTTAATTGTATAGAACAAGGAAGTTGCTATAAAATGCTAGGAGGGTGATTGGATTCAAAATGTATATAATTTAGTTCATCATTTGGTTTACAAAACGGTCTGAAAGACCGTCATTAAGGTTTAGTGGTCATTAAGGTTCAGTGTCACGTCAAGAAAGTTCATAACTTTTATGTTACATTGTGTAGAGATAAAAAGATTATTATTTTTAAAAATTTAAATAATATGTTTTTTTATTGCATCCATGTGGTGGCTACTTGCATTTTTAAAAACTGCTAACCCATTGTCTCGGTATAAGCCAAAATCTGTTTTGTTATAATGCTGGGATTGCTGAAAAAGAAGAAAAGTTCCAAAAAACGACACTGAATTATCTAAGGAAGTATGGAGGTTAAAAAAAAAGCGGAGTAAGCTTGACAATTGAATGAAAAATTGTTAAACCTTGTAGATCTTACAATCCCACAGTAAAACGTTGCAACCATTGTTTATTTGAATAGTATCTCATAATATCTTACACCAACAACAACTTATTAAATAAGAGGAATGAATTCGTTTCTAAATGTAAACATAAAAGCAAATATTTTCTTTCAAAGTTCCATTCGGATGATTAGGCAACCATTTATAGTTTTTTCTTTTTGTTGTTTGTTGTTATGACAACGGAGCACACTTCATTGTAACTTTATATTTTCACGGGTTTTTTTTTATTTCTTGATTTTGTATTACATGGCCGATGATTACCTTTAAGCATGAAACTATTAGTACCATAAAAAGTTGTATTTTATTCGTTTACTAATTTATATATATATATATATATATATATATATATATATATATATATATATATATATATATATATTATATATATATATATATATATATATATATATATATATATATATATATATATATATATATATATATATATATATATATATATATATATATATATATATATATATATATATATATTTATCCTATAAGCAAACAGGATAACAAACTAAAATGCCCCAATAAATAACACAACCCAATTGTTAGACTCTATATTGTAAAAATCAGCAAACTCAATATATTGTTTTACTATTTGCAACACACAGCCTGTAATCCAAGTTCATTGAAACAATAATATATATTTAACTTTTCAGAATAAAAGCATGTAATTGACCTTTTATTTGAAAAATAATACTTTTACCTGTATAAAAGGTCTGTCCATTAATTCTAAGTTTTGTGGTAGAAATAAACTGCTCATATTGATTTATTTGATAGGTGTTAACAATTTTTTTTTTATGGCATCAACAAGTGAATCAACAATGCAAGTGAATCTATAAATAAAGATTTTTGATAACTTAAAATTTCTGGACCTTTATAGTATGGGCTTTTTCCAAAACACACTTGCACATTTCATGTTGTTTTGTCAAAGTAAATGTTATGTTTTTAAAAAATTTTTACACGACATGCAATTTGTTTAAAGTATTAATGTTTAACTTTAAATCTCATTATCCGTGTTGCAAAGGTCTAAAGTGCAATGCATATCTAGGAAAATGTACTGAAATATGTATTTTAGGTATAAATGATACTAGGCTAATTCGTTCAAGCAGAGGATGATGTCTTTGAATCAGATGCTCAAGAATAGGGATCCAATTTATATCAATTTCTGGTGCCAAAACAATTTTCACTATTTGTCGACAATATTAGTTATTATATAGAAGTATATCATGATTTTTTACCAGATGGCTGACAAATATAGACAAAAAATAAAAAAATGACCATCTCTCTACTGCTTTTCCATGGATTTATTTACTGGTTGTTGCTAAATTTTCTGAAACACATGATAAAGCAGATTTATCACAACTATCTGGAATGCCATACTTGAATTTTGGTATTTCTTCTTTCAACAGAATAATAGTGAATAATTTTTTTTATAAGATTTCATACAACAATTGAAAAAATTATACTCAAAAGCCCTTCTAGTCTATCATGCATAAAGTCAGACGGGAAACATTCAATTGCATTAAAATACTGCAAACTAGATAACGAACAATGACTATTAACACCATACACACCACTGCACAGTGGGTCAGAAATCACTTTTACTGGACAAAATTCATGACTAATTTAATATTGTGAATATAGATTCACTAAAATTAGCATGAGTACTAGTATGGTGTCAGCGCTTTTTATGAAGGTATATTTTTTTATTTTGTTGCTATGGATACCTTTATTTTGCTTAGCAACAACCTATTTTTGTAATCTGCAAATATTTTATGAGTGCTATATTCCCTATTTTTGGCATGAGTACCAATATAAGATCACACTTATTATAAAAGTGATAATTTTTTTAATTTAGTTGCTATGGATACTTATATTGCTTAGTTACCAGATACTTTCCTTAGTTATAAAGATGTAAGTTGATATTTGAATATTCTATCGGATTTTCAACCCACCTATATTGAATAACAATTGATTTCTTAGGTTAATAGTGTTTTTGCAATAATAAAAACCAAAAAAATAGTGCAAGAAAATATTGTCAATTTTAAATTACATCAAAAAATTATAAAACAATAACATTGTTTAAAGATTGTTTAAGTAATTGTAAAACATCTTAAGAAAATGCTTTATGATTTGTTTGTTGTGATGTTGATTTACGCAGTGATGAAATAACAGGATCACTGGAAACTAGGAGTCTATTGATAAGATCAGTATTTGTTGCTTTTCTGGATGTTTTTCGACTCAAATTATTGAGATAAGATTTGAAGTCTTTTTTTCTAGCCTCTTGAGTTTCCTCTGACATAAGTCCAATGGGTAATGTAGGGTTTTTAATTATGTCATGTCCATGTATCAATACTTTGTGAACTGATTGGGCCATGTAGTACCATCGATAAAGGAACACATATAGTCTAATAGTGTCAAAACAATAATCCTTGAATTTTAAACTGTCTATTTCATATCCTGAAGAGAGTGTTACCGAGACAATGTAAAATCTGAATATTAGATTTTGATCAATACCCAGAGTTTCAGCTGTTTGCAAAAGCACGCCTTGAGGTATTGCCATCATTGCTGTTCCAGAACCACCATCTTTAGGGAAATCAACAACAAGTCCTATTTTGTTCATAAATATCAGTCTTAATCTTTTGTTTAGCTAGAGATGCCTTTTCTTTATGTTCTTTAGAT